AAGGCAGACCGTACTGCTGCAGCGGCCCCTGCGGATTCAACCGACCGCAACTTGGTCTTCGAAAGCACTCAGTCTTAAACAAGTACTGAAGGGAACATCCATCACACTGCTAGCCGCTAGCCGCGACTAGCAGACGGGTGCAGTCCCAGGATATAGTGCCCGTCTAGATGGAGTTTCAGCAAACAGGGACCCCAATACAGAACTGGGGTACCCCAGTTTCTTTAACAAAACGTCCAAATCACCTCTTGGGCATCGCTAGACCGACACGGGCGCATCTGTGAGGAGATGCTTGCTGGGGCCAGTGGGTGTGGATTACATCCCACGCCTCACGCAAGACGCGGATGGGAGTTTGAGAAAAGAAGCGCAATAAGGGGCCCTGCTGTAAACCAAGAAAGAGTAGGATCCTTTTCATGTGAGGTCCTACTATGAAAAGGACTGTAACTTAGTTAAGAGTCGGTCCATCCGTTCCCAAGCGCTGCCTTACCTTCTTCCAACGGTCTCAGGTGCCCGTCTACCGACTCTGCATGCTGCTATATCTACTTCCATGTGTCTATGTGTATATATATATAATATTTATTTATATTCTTTGTCTTATTTGTATTGTCTAGATATATAGGATACTGTCGAGCGATGATCGTATCTGAAAAGCGCAGCATAGACAGCTGCGATAGCTGAGATGCGGAAAGCGGGTTTACTTCTAGGACCGATATGAGGTCACCTGTCGCCTGGCACGCTGTCGCAGACCAACCAACTCCTGTAGCATCACGGCCTTGCTGCGGCCTTCACACCTGTGTGCAGCCATCGATAAGATGTCGGAGAAGTTCATGCGCTGAAGTACCTGGTGGTTGAAATCTGAAACCTTGAGCAGCCCATCTCAAGCCAGCAAAGATACTACTCCTCGCCCTCTGCCCCGTATATCGCAACAAAACCGAGCATGAACATGAGTCGTACCTTCTATAGCGAAAGCCCAGTTATGGTGCGGGACCTGTCGTAAGTTGTGAAGCTTGCCAGGCTTCGTCTGCAAACGACTTGGAAGAAGTCCTGCATGGACGGAAAGCACCTCGTCTGTGCTGTGGGCTTGCATGTTTCCGGTGTTGGGGTCTTGGGTTTCACACGTCATGGCCGCAATGCTTGCAGAGCTTGGAGTTTTTAGTTGGGGATTGGGGCATATAGTGATTTATGTAGGGAGTAGGCTTCAGGGCCTTGGGGCTTTCGGGCTCTGTTGCGGCCCATCGAGCGGCACACAGCATACCGTGCCAAGTCGACCGAGGGACTGCCACCACGAAGCTCACATCAGGGAGTCCATCTTGCTCGGCAAGCTCCAGAAGTAGATCTGCTAAAAGACTCAGTAGCTCTGGCCTGGGCATCGTGCTCATCAAAAGGCGCTGCCTCTTGTCGGGCTTCGGGTCATCATGCTGGAAATGACAAAAGCCACAGCCCACACCTTTCTGGCAGTGCCTCCGCCTTATGACGCAAACACATGGTGAGTTGCACAAGGCCGGGTGTCCTGCACTGCCCCGACTGGGGACCGGTGCATCGACGACCGTTGCGCTCTGCACTTGCCGCAGAGTGCGAAGATGACGATGCGCCCAGACGTCCTCCATAAGAGGCTCCGGGCTGGCCCACATCCGGGTAGGCGAGAGGCTACGGGCCCGAGCACGACGTTCTGCACCATCCATCTTGCCATCCATCACGTCAATGAAAGTGCGGCGGTACGCAAGTTGAGCGAGGGCCATGGCTCTGGTTTGGTTGAGTCGCGTCTGAACAGCTTTCAGTAGGCTGCGGGTAGTGGAGATTTTGAGAGATCAGGGAGCACAAGCCTCTAAACCTTGCAGGAGTTGAAGCCCTCGGAATTGTAGGCCGTGTCATACCTTTGCTGTATAGGAGTTCTATACACCCGAAGTTAGCCAGGACCGGGGGTTAAACGCTCGCATCGACAAGAACCTGCTCCAAACGCCTTCCCGTAGAACCCTGCGCGGCAATGCCTTCGATGGTTCAGCCCCTAAACCTTTTACCGCTTCGTGTCTAGAAGGTGTAGGGCTGAGGGCAGAAGCTTACTCTAGGCTAGGGGCTCTACGAGTTACTATGGGTCTTTCAGGCAAGATTTAGGGACCACTCAGCTGTGGGGCTTTAGGGCTTGGCGCTTCGGGGCTCAGCGAGAGTAATGCACAAGACAGATGCCCATTGCACACCTAAGCCTGACGCTTGGACAAAACCAGTAACCCTGAAGCTTAAACCCCAAACTTTAAAATTCGAAAACGTCCTATAAGCCCTATAAGCCCCAAACCTTAAACTTCTAAAACGTACCTGAAAATCTATTAACACTCAAGGTCCTACACCCTAAATCCCAAACGTTAATCTAAAACGTCCTAAAACCCTAAACCCCAGACCCTACATCCCGAGACCCCAACTAAACTTATCCAGCGCCCCTAAACCCCAAACCCTAAGCCCTACGAAGGCCCTTCAAAGCTAAACCCTTCAACCCTAAGCCCCGAAGCCAAAGCCCTTGAAACCTAAACCCTGAAAACCCTGCAGCGTTTAGGGTTAAGGGTCCTTCTTCATTGATCTGGTGGTCCAATTTCAGCGGGAAGGAGTTCACCAAGCTCTCCAGACCCGCGACTTCCAGCGCCTCGCTCGCGTTTTTAGGGTTTACGGTGTAGGGTGTAGGGTTTAGGGTTTATAGGGTTAAGGTAGGTACAATAATGGCCCGACACCTCTGAAAGGCTATTATTCAACATACTTTTGCGGTCCAGGTAGGGTTTTCTGTTTTCTCAAAGAATCATGTAAGGGTGTAGTTAGGGTTCAGAGCTTACGGGGCTGTTTATCAGAGAGGCTGTGCCGTACTTGTAGGGGTTTGTCTATACAGGGGCTCTCCGTTTGATTTTGTTGGGGGCGCCGGGTGGGGGGGGGGGGGCTTTGGGGTGTTAGGGTTGTTTTGGAGCCCCGAACTACACCCTGAAACCCCGCAACCCGAAAGCCCAAACCCTAAACCCATACACCCCAAAAACCTAAAATCTTTAAACTGTTAAACCCTACAACCCTGCAGCCTCAAGGTCTTACATGGTTCGGTCTGCGGGTCCATCCAAGTCTATTAGCAACCTCAGCTCCTAAGCTAAACCGCGAAAACCTGAAACCGAAGGGCTTAGGGCTTTTAGGGTTTATAGGGGTTTGGATTTAGAGTTCAGGGTTTAAGGAATATGTAAACTTAGGCAATCTAGATGCTAGATCTTGAAGGACCTCGGTCCAACATGGAGGCGGCCAGGTAAAACCTGAATCCTAAGAGTCTAAAACCTTGGCTCTGATAAACCCCAATTCCCGATGCATCTTGAAGCCTAAAACCTTACAGTAGGTGACAACAGTTGGGAACATCAATAACCTCATCAAATGTAAAGGAGAGGCGTAGCAAATCCCGGAACTTTCGCCGAACGCGAAGCCTGGAGGATGCGGCCCTCCGTGTACTGCTCGAAAGGATCCAAATTGTGCCCTGAAAGCGACGACATTTAGGGTTAGGGTTTAGGCAGCTTCGCGTATAGGAGGCTCGTTTACATCGCATGCAAGGCACGGGGCATATATACCCTAAACCCTAAACCCCAAAGCCCTAAACCCTATAGGGTTTAGGACCACCAGACCAATACCGAGACGGCAAACCGCAGAACCCTGTTTTGTTACCTCAGTACTGTATCGTAAGATTGAAACCTTCAGCAGGTGATCCAAAATAGAGTACCATGTTCTAGGGGTAGAGGATTGAGCTAGGAGGTTTAAGAATCAGCCCTGACTATGGTCCGGTGCTGAGGATCCAGATTTCTGGAGCGTATGCGGATTTTGGGGCTTCGGTCTTTGACCCTTCCGCAGATCCCTTCGTCGTGCGAGAGAGAGAGAGAGAGAGAGAGACGGACGAGAGATACAGACAGGCAGGCAGACAGACAGAGAGCGAGACCGACAGCGTGCGAGAGCAAGAGCTTCTTAGCATGTCATAAGGGTCATAAGGCTTCACGGTCCGCAATGGCTTGTGCTTGACCCGAAAGAACCGGATGTATATACAGCCACAGGTCCTGCGCTAAAGCAGCACCTCACCAGAAAAAAGACCAAAAGCACCAACACCTTGTCAACTGGCCGTGATGTTCTTTGTCCCTAAGCCCTCTCTGGAAACCCTGTCTCGAAAACCTTCAAACTGCAGCTCGAATTGTGGAGGGAGACCACGGATAGCTTGCAGCAGAATGCATGGGGTATAGGGGCTTATGAAACTGAACCTGGAACGGAATCCATCCGCTTGCTGGAAAGATTCTGAGGGTGCCGGAGAACATCACCTCAGTAACTTTCAGTAGCAGTAACTTTCAGTAGAAGATGCTTACATGGAAGGGTCGATTAATTAGTAAGACTATCCCCTGACAGTCTTAAAACATTATTAATATACCATACTATAACCACTTAGGGGTATAGGTTTACGCACCTTTCACTCTTCAAAAACATGGCGCAAACATTTATAGTCGGCTACAAGTCGCCCAGCCCTAAAACCTTAAACCCGGGCTTAAGGTGAACGGCTTTGCGCCTGGGCTGCATGTCTTGATTTTGAGGAAGGTTCCGAGATTCCGGGCAGCCTAAATTGTATAAGTTTTGCTCCGAACCAAAAACTTACAAGATAAATCCAGCCCCCCCCCCTTCCAGAGCTGATGCTTGGAAGATGCCTGGCAAAATGCGATTCAAACCGAACCGACACAAACCCTCGAATAGACTCTAGCCTACACCGTAAACTCTGTTGCCCCACTTCTGAGCACCCAGAGTGCAAATTGAAGCTTCTCTAGATTCGGGTCCCTGTTGACAGCTCGGCATTGTTGTCATCTCCAACAGTGTAGACAAGTGCCTCAGAAGAAACCCAAGCTGGCATGGTCATCATCATCATCATCACCACCAATGTCCGAATGATTCGGAGCAGGATTCATGTTGCGGTTAGGCTTCCCCAGGTTGCGATTCATATTCCTGTATTGTGAAGCTTGCCATCGTCAGTATTTCTGCCGGGACACCGGATCTTGAGGAACCAGCCCCATGGCCGATCGCAGGGTCGCCAATCCGATATCACGAGTGTCCACTCCGTTGATGAGAACCTTTAGGGTGTCGGTCGAGGGCTCGGAGAGTTTATGGCTGAGGGCTTAAATGTAGGATTAAGCTCAAGAGTTTAAGCATTAGGTAGCTTGGGTGGAATAAGTGTCTGTCTTCATCGCTTGTTGTCGGTGCTCGGACTGGTGGGGATGCTTTCGAACTCTCGGATGTTGGTCTTTGGACGTTCAACCCAAGCTCGGCTTGCTGCACAAGAAACAGCTCGAAGCAGCAGCAGGAACAACCAGTAAGGATAGGCATCTACACCTGAAGTGCCTTCTGTATTCTGTTGTATGTCCCAGCTGAGACCTATCATTCGGATTTTAGCAGCATCGGCATCTAAACGAAAGAAACTATACAACACCTTGTAAAACTTGACAGAGCCCTCCATTACACAAAGTCTATATACCCTGGCTTGCAGGAAAGGAGCCCTTCCAGCTCGGGGCTCTAGCACTCGCAGCAGAACCAAGAGGAAGCTGGACTTACCTTAGTTTCTCAATATATTGCCAAATGATATGTTATATTGGATATTGTACTGTACCAGATAATGTTATACTTATCTATATTATGCGATAGTATGATATGTTATGTTTGCTATGTTCTGAGTTTCGAGTATTATAGTACAATATGTTACGTTGTATTGTATTCCATTATGATATGAAGGCTTTGTTGAGCTACGGTCTACTGCCAGCTACCAGAGTCGGAAGCCCCTTGGGTTCGCGGCTTTAGGGCTAGGCAGAAGGCAGAATGTGCGTTCAGCGACTTGCTGATGAAGGTAGAGGAAGAGGGACAGTTGGAAGCTCAAGGGACATGTCGACTGCAGCTTCCACCATGATCAGGTCTTGCACTACTCTGGCGGCTCATTGAAGAAAATATTACTGGATTCCGCAGACGAAAACCGAAAGCATCGGATCATCGGACGCTAGAAAACGCAACGGAGAGCCACCAAACATGAACAAGCTGCCACATCCAGTGGTGCCCACGATGCCTACCTGACAAGGTTCGCAAGGCAATTATGGTTTCGGGGTCTAGGGTGGCTTAAGCCTTGGGTTTGGAATTCATCTTGGGAAAAAAAAGCTGAGCCGCTCAGAATTTCCTGCGGCGACGTGAGAGATCCCGTTGTTTCAAAGAAGGCGTGCATCAAAAGATGAGAGGACACCAACTCAAAAGAGCTTATAACACTCGTGAGTGCGACGTACACTGGAGCTCAGCTTCTGGTAGCTTGACCAGGAGTCTGCTCACTTCACCATGGTAAACTTTGGTGCAGGAAATTCAATTTGAGTTTTAAACCAACAAAGTGAATCAGCAAGAGGCCCGTGCCAGCTTGCCATCTGCAGGTGTTTGCTTTTTGGGCCAAAGCACTTGGAGCTTGGGTCCATCTTTGGGTGTGAGAGCTGTCAGTTTGCAATGAAAGGCGGCAGTATCCACCAAAGGGAACGGATGTGGTCGTTGCAAGCCCCATGCAACCCTCACGCTCGAGTCTTTGGAGCAAGCTCGAGAGCCCAGATCCCCGGGACTCAAACATGGAGCTCCCTATGCCAAACAGGAAAGTCAGGGACTGAGAGCTTCCAAAACCTCTGAGCTCTAAACCTGAACCAGCATTGAAGGCAAAAGTGGCAAAAGCTCTGGGCCCTCGGACCCCAAACCGTCAATACCAGACCTCTTCAAACCTAAATCCCCAACCGCCGAGAGTAACTTCGTGTAAGCGTGATGTACTACCTTCGCCCCTACAAACCTGCGGATGCTTGAGGTAGAAACTTCCCACATTCAGGTCCGGGGTTCCTTACGATGCTTTCCTGAGGAGGGCTTTGTGCTTGTATTCATCTTATGTTGGGTTTTTTGCTAATTCTTCATGACCCCCCAAACCCTGAAGTAAACCCCTGCGCTTACACCCTCTACGTACCCAATTCCCCACATCCTAAACCAAAACCGGGCTTGGCCCTAAACCCTAAACCCTAAAACCCTATACACCCTAAACCCTAGAGACTTTCCAGCCTTGGACCTGGCTTCGAAAGTGAGGTTGATGCCCTTCAGCACATCCCGCGCTGCGTCCGCGTAGCCAGCCTTGAGATTCTCAACCTCAGCGCTTGCAATGTCCGACGCCCAATCTACGAGGAACCACCAAGCCGCAAGCCGCGAGTGCTCTAAACCCTATGACGCCAGTTAAAACCCCAAACTCGAGACTCTCTGGGGCTTATGATACGGAAGTGGAGATCTCGAGGTTCCCAAATTTAAGTTTTGGAGATCCGGTTGAAGACTTACGGCCTGGAAGAGAGGGTGCAGGGCTTTCGGGGAAGGGGGTTGGGGTTTTTGGTCTTCCGGCATATGAGATTGGGCTGAAGATAGAATTTTCTGTTGAGTTGCAGCCAATCAGCCTCTGGGACTCAGAAACTGAGGTGTTATAGCTCATGTGTGAAAAAGCTGTTGAGAGAGGCTTTCCTGGGATTAGGGTTGCGGGACACACCATCTGCTTCACACAGGAAGAACTTCTGCTCCTTGCTCCAGGTTCATCTTCAGCATGGAAAGGACATCCGTGAAAGCGCAAGCACCGGAGCGACGGCTATATCGGCCATCCAGCGTCGGGGACCAGAAGGGTGAGGCAAACGCAGTCAGGCCACAACCAACCTAGATTTCGCACTGTAGTACGCGTAGTACTTTCTCATGTCATGTGGACATCCTTGGGAAGACACTCACTAGACCCCCTTGTTTAACGACCTTGAACAAACGAATTAAATTTGAACAAACGAATTAAACCTGCGAAACTGCCAGTTCCCCCAGAACAACACGCAACCCCGCTTACGAGCAATGGGCCCTACGATCGATTGATTGATTGATTGATTGATTGATTGATTGATTGCTAAATTGCTTGGTTGCTTGGCTGCTTGGATGCTTGGTTTGCTTGGCTGATTGCTTGATTGCTTGGTTGCTTGGTTGCTTGGTTGCTTGGTTGCTTGGTTGATGGCTTGATTGACTGATTGGTTGATTGTTTGATTGCTTAGTTGTTTGATTGACTGACTGACTGACTGACTGATTGATTGATTGATTGATTGATAGAATGATTGATTGATGGCCTGCTTGCTTGGTTGATCAATTGGTTGATTGATTGATTGATCGATCGATCGGTTGATTGATTGATACACTCACCAAGACTCCCGCGGAGCCCTATGCATGCTTAACAAGGTCCCTAAACCCAATCTTACTTCGTAGAAGAGCGGCATTGATCCGGGCCCCCTCATATAGCCAACCGCTCTGGACACCAATGAGGACCTGGCAGCAAGCGCAGAAAGATTCGGAGTTTTCGGGCTATGGTGCTTTTCTCAGGGTTCCATGAAAGTGCATCAAGGGACACACACGCTTTGATAGTATGACATCCAGTACTATATTCCCTTCGGTTATACACACTCCATTAACCTATTCTTTATATGGCGCAGCCGACGCTAGAAAGGCTCCAACTGTTTGGATCTTGGAAATGATACTATGATGCTCGCACCGACCCACATCCCGGGTCTTTGAGTGAACCCGACCGTGAAGAGAGTCGTGTTTTCGATTTACTCATGGAAGGAACCTCGAGGACGTTGCAGGACAAAAGGCCTCTGGCTTGAAAGCGCAAGGCTGATAATTACGGGTTTAGAGCTCATATCATCTAAGGTTCAGATCGCGCAGATTGTTGGTCAGAGTGTAGTATGGTGTTTCCCAGTAAGCACCAACCGTATCTAAACCTCGGCAGCACGAATCGCAGACCAGGCTTTAGCCTTCACGCAGGTTACGTTACGGGCTATAAGTCTGGGGTTTGGGGCCAGGCGTGGGGCGTCCGCAGACCCCGTAATTACAGCGCAGGATCATCACAGCGTATGCTCTCAGGCAAGGGGTAGTGGCATTTCGGTCGACCTTAAGTCTGAACTACCTTTAAGCCGTATTTCCCGTTAACATCAAGTAGCTTTCCTCTAAACCAAGTAGAATGGTGATAATAAACTAGCTCCACCTTGGAATCTTGGACCCGTGAGGACCAAAGGATTCGGATCCAGCCTGTTGAGCGCCGGAGAAGCTGACAGCAGTGACCTCCAGGAGTGCCACAGGCTCAGCGTGAAGCCCCTAAGCCCTAAGCAATGAGGAATTTGTGAATAACGGACGTCTGACCTCTGCACTCTGAGATGAAATTTTCACATATATACTTCATCTCTTGTCAGTGAAGGGGGTGTATTTCATCAGGGAGTCCACAGTATCCAAACGCCAAGATCCTTCCCAGCCTCACCTATGAAGCAAACACAAACCCGCTCGAGTGCTGACAGAAAAGTTGAAGCGCAGACGCACACTCGCTTCTTGACGCCTTCACATTGAACGTACGTTTATCATGATTGTACCCCGCCTTGTGCTTGCACAGCTCTTCCGCCATCTTCCGGGCATCACGGACGACATCATTGACCACGACGATGCGGTGCCAGGACTCTGCCTCTATAGGCTTCAAATCATGGGGAAGAATGGAAGGCTGCGCATGGGTTACTTGGTTCAATTGGCATCTATGGCCCGTGCAGACGATGTTTAAGGTTTTGTGGCAGGCATGAACGGGAACAACCGACGAAGCCACGGAGCAGTCTAGAACTGCATACCGCTGCTCCTTGCGTGCACTACCCACAAGCATGACAGCTCCCGGTGCCTGTTCCAATTCGACGCAGCCGGTGCACAGGTCTTTCAACTGGGCTGTAGTGCCTTCGAGATTGGAGACATCTTGAAGCTCGACAAACCCATCGCAAATCTGTAGCCTGCCAGATAACGGACAACCCACAGCCTGTGATATCTGCTGATCTATAGCTGCTACAGTTGCACCTGCGACGCTCCACAGTATATTCACATGCTTACGCGGTGTTGAGCTATGGTGGTTGACTCTTCAATTACCGTGCAAATTAATTTCAAGCAGTAGCAGTCGTGGTTGCCACAAGCTTAGTACGAGTAATGCACTAATAGTCGTATGGTAGTAACTGTAAAGCAGAAGTAGGGAAGTAGGGCCTCTAAGATCAGTGGGCGTGGAAGCAGGAGGCGGAGTAAAAGTGGTCCCTAGTCCAGCACCCCTCGTGCATCCACAGGCCAGCTGCCAAGCAATGAAACCAAGCACCAAGAGCCCAGCGCTGCATTTAAACCCCAAGCCCAACCTTGAAGCCCAGAAGTCTTCCATCGATGGACCCCTTGCTCCGGGCCTTTCCCTGCGATGCATTCGGAAGCAGGCATCAAAGAAGAGCCATCGGCTGTTGACTGCAGCAGCACCTTCATTGAGGTGCGACGGTTCAGAGTGTTGGGCCATGGAGTGGGAAAGTCTCATTCTTGCCGAACACGCGGGGTGTATGGAATCGGTGTTGGGCTGAGCAACAATCCACGACAGTCAGTGCAAAGTAAGGTTGAACATGTTGACCCTCTAAAACAGAGTCTTGAATTTTGAGATTATTAAGATGTTAGGGGGCTCTTAAGGAACAAGGAAAACATATATATATATATATATATACACATATAATATATGTATATATGTACATAGATATATGTATATGAATGTATGTATGCATACATACATGCATACATGCTGTATATATAGAACCAGATACATAAAGACATTCAGTCATACTGGAAACGTACATTATATCTACATGTGTCTACACCTGACAAAAACCCTTGCTATGCCAACAATCAAGGCACCTATATTGCCCCGCCCCGGAACCCCCACGCACGCGCAGGATCTTGCAAGACAAGAAGCCTTCCCGGCCCGAGACACTTCCACACCTTCGGAGCTCACGAGGGATGGTTTTGTGCGCTGGGCACTTGACTCTTGGGTAATTACTTTGGACCCTACGTCTAGGTCGAGGGTTCAGGTGGAACAAGGGTCAACAAAGCACCCAAGCCCAAAGCCATGTCGCGCTAGCCAGAGCTCTAAACTACGTATCCCTTCGTCGCAATTATGCACCACCGATGGTTGCTTTGGGCCCGAGGGTTGAACTTTCGAGGTTAAGGGGCTTACCCGACAAACCCTACAGGCGAGAAACGTGTGCTTCGAAGGTTTTTAGAGCTTGCGCCTTCGCGATAAGCAGTTTCGAGCAACAAAATCCTCCGCTCCCACACCTCAAACTCCTTAATCAGAAACTCTTTCTGCCTTTCAACCCCAAACCAATGATTAGTCATTTTCTCTACCCCTAAACTCTCATCTCTACACTCTCAAACCGCCGCAACCCCTAGTCCTGACCTTTGAATTGCATTCCTAAGCCTTAACTCACCTCAAGTCTGAACCTAGACCCTAGATCCTCCTTAGCAAGCCTTTCTCCGTCTCCTTCCACCGGAGAGAACCGACGGCCTGTGCTGAAGGGAGCTTGTGGCGGCTTAGGGTTTAGGTTTTAGGGTTAGGGGCCTAAATAATTACCAATTCAGGCCCATATATTAGGCAAGGCATATAGGTTTGGTTTAGGGTTTGACATGGAAAAAATGGACACTAAAGCTCCTTTGAAGCCTCAGAGCCGTGACAAAAACTGCTAAGAAGGGTCTAGCTTGACCGGTTTGGGGACGGGCTCGAAGGTCTGGGGGTATAGGGGCTGAGGCAAGCAGAACAAGACTTACGGTCAGGGTTCGGAGCTTCAGGGCTTAAGGTTTATAGGGTTTCAGGGTTTAGGGGATACTTAGCCTGGGGATTTCGCAAATCCTATAAACTCAAACTACTGGTCATCACGGGATACGTGTGCAACACCATACGGTCCCATTTGGTTTTGCGGCCTCTGTTAACTCCGTGCGCTTCAGTCGTAGGCGCGTCTGTTTTTGATGATCTCAGCATTGAATACCCTGACTATATCCGGGTGCTCTTCCGGTCATTGAAGAGCCCGAAGCCAAGAATGAGGGTTTCGGGTCTCGGGTTTACGCCCCCGCCAAGACCGGCCTTTGCGGGTAGCCGAGCTGTGAAAGATCGGTAGCGGCTGTCCCCCACGGTCCTGGCGGAGTTTACAGGGCTTTTGTGGTTTAGGGGTGCTTCGGGTTGAGAGTTATCGGCTAGGTAGGGTGTTGAGTGGAATTAGAGTCTTGCAGACGCGGCTTGGTACACGAAACGAAGGCCTTAGAATGACAGTGGGAATCATTCGCGAAGGTTAGCTTCCTGCCATATGGCATGCCACGCAACAGATAGATTCAGATAGATGCTGCAGCTGCAATGCCCTAAACCCGGAATTGCCAAACTCAATAACAAACCCCAGACCCTGAACCCCAAACAGAAACCGTGAACCCTAAATCGCAACTCTGGAAGACAACCCTAATCCGTAAACCACAGGAGCAATGACTGTGCAAAGAGAAGCTTGAGCCCTTCTCATAACCGGGTGCAGTCCTCATTTCCTTCTCCTGCGGGATGTTCAAATACCTTTGCAAAAGCGTCCAGGTTCGACTGTCCTACTGTCCTCGATGCACCGATGAATCTGATAAAACCCTCAACCCTTGGCTAAACCCTGAAAGCCTGAGCCCTAAACCTTTGGCCTTCAAGTCTTTGTCACGGACCCTGAACCGGCCAAGACTTCCAGAGGGAGTAAGGGCAGAAGCTTAGAAGCAGGCGGCCTAGAGGCAAACCCGATAAGCTGTGAACTCGAAGTCCCTCGCAGTTGGAACATCGCATTCGGCACATACTCCACCGCAAGAACACAAGGTCGTATCCGAATACAGCAATTACAAAACAACTACAAATCCAACTACTGAGGCTTTTCAAACAATAATCAAGAGTGACTGAGGTCTGAGGCTAGAGTCTTCATAATGCGAGGCCAAAAAAACCCGACTACACATCTGCGAAGAACAACTGCGACAGCAATGCTGTTGAATCTTTGTGGCATCCCTAGTACTAGTTACTGTGAATACTAATTACACGTAAGCTAAAAAAACTGCCCAAGCATTTGCTTC